CCCCCCCCCCCCCCCCCCCCCCCCCCCCCCCCCCCCCCCCCCCCCCCCCCCCCCCCCCCCCCCCCAAATCCAAAAAACGGGAATAAGGTCTCCAGAAATAGGTCCCTGACTCTCCGAGCTCATGGTGAAGTATAAATAATTTTTATTTAATAATACCAAATCATTATGCCTACTTTTCGACGGCAATCCAGTTGTTATTAATTCATTACCATTGATAATGCCTCCATTCAGAAATCTAAATATACTCAAACTAAAACGTGATTTTAGTGCCGCAATTATATTCGAATTGATCAAAACTTTGCCCTCAGTTGACTCACTGGGTAAGTTGTCAAGAAATTGCTTTTTGGGGTGAAGTTCTATACTTCATGAGTTATATACATACAGCTATAACAGTTTTGATTTAGCAGAAAATACTAACCTTTTTTGTCTTAGAGCATATTTGATTATAGATGATTTTTGATGCTGTTCAAGCGGAACAATTTAAGAAAGGTACGAAGTAATCGGTTTTCTACAGTTCCAGTTCAAAAGATGGCAATATAGTACGTATGGCTGTGAGGAGTCTACGCAAGATAGAATGCTAAATTCTTCGGGAAACATGTTTATTCTTCAATCTTTACTCAACAAGCTGTACAAACTACTAGAATCAGAATGTTTTGCTTCCGAATCATCGGCGGTGTTCGCAGAAGGTGAGTCCGGAGACTGGGGACATAGAAAATCCAAGCGTCTAATTAGTTTACGCAACAGCATCAAAATTCACCTCTCACCAACTATGTATCAAGCAAAAAAATGATGAGACATTTCACAAGATTCTCAGCTATTAATTACCAATTAGTCAAAGCATAATGCATTTTCATTTCATACAGGTACATTCGAACCACTAGACTCTTATCTGCCAATCTGCACAAGGCTCGACTCTCCTCTTTCATCGTTTTTAACCAGTGCAAGTTTCCCTTGGTGAACTAGGATTGTTGCTTCTTATTCTTAGATAACTTCGAAATGAATGGAAACATACTTTTATCGACCATTCTGAATCTCGTAGTTTGTTTCTCATTAGAAGAAAAAGAATCTCTAAAAGTGACTTTAAAACGACAGGTAAAAAGCTAATCAAAGCTCTACAGAGAGAAATGTTGAAAGTCTAGATACTTTTTTTCCGTTTTGATTGCTTATTTCAGCTATTTCTTTTCTTCAAATCGATGTCTTTCATCGTGACGCTTTCTTCCTTTATTCAGCTAGAACTTGAATTTACCGATCCGAACTATTTTACTGATTTGTTTTATCATTCTGAATTATGCACATATTTGAATCAAATTAAACGATTAACATTGAAAAATCCATCGGTAATATCATCCACAAACGTTGCTCAGTTCGTGAAAATATTTTCGCATAATTTAGAAAAACTCGTCATTCGTTGTAAAGAAGAAAATTTGGAAAACTGAAATTCCTATTTCAATTTATTTAGTCAAGATGTGGTGTACAAGGTTATGACAAAAGAAGAAACTACGTAAAAGAGTCTCTTATACCGTCATCCTGTAACACTAGAAAAGCACACATGGTAAACATACATAAAAGCACTAATTTCTACTGTTTATACCTTGCTGAACAACGAACCGTTCAACGATAGTACAAAACATTGAAAGATTAGGAGATCTTACAATACTTTCAGGGAGATTGTTACATTCTTTTACGGTTTTAACAAAAAATAAGGTTCTGCTAGTGCAGATGTTTCATATGTAGATACAACAGATTGCATAGAGTTTCTGCGAGAAGAATCTCGCTAACTAGACACCTGAAGCAAAGAAAATCTGGCCAAGGCTCTGTTCCCGAGCACTGTTTTCCAGAAATTTTAACCTATATAATAGATATAATAGATCTTAACCTTTTAACGCGGTGCAACGAGTGTTTTTCTGCCAGTGTTTTTTTGGTTTTTTTTGCAGTTAATGGAAATAGACCTACTATTTGACTATTGTCATCAGTAAGTACACAGCAATTTTCGAGAGAAGAAGAAAATTCCAAGAGGAAAATTTATTTTTTTGTCTAAGTTGAACTATTTTCTTCTTGACAGTTTTAGAATGGAATGAGAATATTCTTTCTCGGACAATGCACCACATCTAAAGTCTTCTAACATGTGTAGGTTCAGTTAAATATGTTGACTGTGCAGAGATCTCAGAATGAAAATGCATAACAGTGAGAGTAATGCACACAAAGGTTGAGTTATCATGTGAATTTCCTCGGTGTAAGATCGCTTTGCCGTTTGAGTCTTTCGGAATGTGGCAACGATCATTTCGATCCTGTTTGATGCACAGAGGATAGCGGCACAGCCAGAGCACCTCAGTTACTATAGCTTCTTGGAATTGATCCAACCCATACGAAGGTAATAATATCTTGTCGTTTTCTAGGTGTAATATCATCGACAGTGAGAGAAAAAGTTGTCAAGAAAGGTACTATGGAATCCTATGCTGGAGAAAGGACGTCGCTTGGAACTTGTACAGTCAGAGTTGAAAGATGTCCGACATCCATGAACTACCTATAGATCGATAGAATAGGTTTTATTGAAGAGAATAAATATAAAGTAACAAATAGTGCTAATCATCAAAGAAAGTCAACTGAATAAAATAACTTCAAATAAATCAGGTTCAATTCTTGTAACAGAGTTTAACCATCATTTCCTGCTGACGGCCACTAACGACTATAGAATAGCCAGAAGGACATGCACCATTGCCGGGATAAAGATATTCGCATGCACTATTTACTTCGTATTTTCCTCTCTCTCCTCCACAATACTGTACACCATTACATACAAAGCTCCAGCCACAAAGTGTTCCAGGTAAATCATTGATATTTGGATCGGTTTTGTAACACAATGCTTTAATATATCCTGCAGTGTCAGCGTTGCTTACATCAGCACGTTGATAACCTGTTGGACAACTGTTCTCTGGATTGTGCCCATTGCACGTAACAAGAAAGGATGGATAACTATAACTGATACCACATATTGTACCAACTTTACTCATTTCTCTGTCAGTAACTGATTTCGCGCAGAAGAACGGGTGCGTATTATATCCTTGTGGACAAGTTGACTGACCGTCACATCCAATAACATTATGGTAACCACATACAGTTCCTTCTGAAACATAGTCTTTTGGTTTTGGTGTTGTAGTAATTTCCAGAGAACAGTCGAGGCCTCCAAAGTTAGTGGTACAATTTTTACACAAACCAAACTGAAAATAACCTGATGATTCACACTGACCGTGTCCTGAACAATTATTATAACAATAGAGCATTTGATTCTCAGTGTACTTCTTGAATGCTTTTTTAATTAAAAATAATTTAAGTTCAATATTCTCGTCATTAGGAAAATATTTAACATTGATTAAGTCAAAAATATAATTCACACCAAGCTCAATGACAACGGGACTACTGGAAACTGTAGTTATCCAATCTTCCAACGGCTGCATTACTGTACTACCACCAAGTGTTGTGGCTGATGTTTTCTTTACTAATTTTAGAAATTCATCATGTTTAATTGTATCATAACGTTCAACTTCTCGTGCTTGTAATGAAAGCAAAAATTCAGTTTGGGCTTCAGTTATTTTATCAAAATATTCCTCTTCAATCATCGACAATTTGGATTTTGCTATGATTAAATTCTGTTGTGCCGATCCACCAACTACTATACTGCTAGCATAAGCAGAACCAAATGTATTAAATATATAATCATTAATATAGGTTTCAACTTGCTGCTCACTATAACTACAACAGGGTAAATTCTGAATAACATACTGGAATTGATCGGATACATTCATTAGGGCAGAGCTAGTATTAGAAATCGACAATTTAAATAGCGTTACTTTGATTGCTGTATGTAATATTTCACTATCATATTTAATAAGATTATCTATGATAAATTTTGTTTGTGATGAGTTTGTATATGGAAAGAACAATGATACATTTTTAAATTCACCGTCGATTTTAATTGCATCATAAATACTTCCATTTAGTTCATTCAATGTACTAATAGTTTGTGTTTTAATTTTTGAAACCACCTGAGACGAAGGAAGGCAATCAACTTTAACATGTTGTGGTATCAATAATCTTGTGTTGTTCATGTTTTTACATGAAACATATTTTTGTGGTATTTGAATATAGTTCAATTGAAAAATTGTTTGACCAAATCCTTCAACAGGTTGATGACATGCACCAGTATAACAAACAGAATTTCCATTGACTAAATTATAACCTCGTCCGATTGCATCACTATTCTTTAAATAATTCTCATTGTTGCTATAAGTGGGGACAGAGTGCTGACGAAGATAATTCTTAACTTGATCATTGATTTCATCAATGGTTTTACATTGAACAACAGTAGCAATGACAAACGCAAGAAAAGCGTGCGGTGCGATCATTTTTGCTGCATTTTGTTTTTTTGAAACAATCTATATATACTGCGATTATTTTCTTTTCATTTGATAAATCATCGAGTACTCACGTTTAATACAATACGAAAAAAAATAAAAACCTTATCATTATTCATACATTTAGCGGAATAATTGAAGTATATTTATGATTT